ACATCATGTAAAAGGTTTCCAAACTAATTCGACCCTTCATAATGATGGAGGTAATTGTATGGACTAATAGTTAAAATAGAATTTCAACAAGAACATTATTTTGTTCAATCATTTTCAGAATAAAAGATAGTTAATCATATTTAACTGCAGAGCAATATCATAGATTCACGTAGTTAAACTCTGGTGTCGTACGATAATGAGACTAATATAAGATCATTATCACTAGAGAAATAATAATTATACGGTAATAACTAAAAGTTATTTTGAATAAATTCACTGAAAAGAGAAAAACGAAAGTGGTTCGATTGCGACACTCTTTGTTTTCGGTAGATTTCGACTATTCACTTGATTGTTGAACACAATAAACAGTGTAACAATGAAATATTTTTATTCCTTTAAATTTCGAAAGGATCGCATCTCAGACGATCTGGATGAAAAATAAACTAAAACTTGGTAAATATTTTCAATTGCTGATACCTGGAGAAATAAGAAATTTTGTAATCTCTAAACATCGGATTGTTCCATTTTATATTAGTTTAAGATTTTTTTTTAAATGAACAAATTTAAATGAAAACCACTGAGACATAATGACCATGAATTCCAGTTAAATATTTAAGTTTCTAATTATTTATTTATATATATTTTTCATTATGACTCTGTATTTGTAGTAAATCAATGTATATATATATATATACATATATATATATATATATATATATATATATATATATATATACAAAGTAGTCATTATTCATATGACTATGTATAAATAAAATAGCAATGTTATAATATCATGCAGAATATTGCTAATTCAATTGTGAATAGAGAATTAATTTTTTTTGAAATACATACCAAACATCTACTCAAGACATTGTTTTAATAATTTAATATGCACAATGTTAACATAGTTAATACAAATCAATTAAATCAGAGTAGTGGTTATTAGTTTTTAAAAAAGGTCATCTAGAATTATTTTCCTTGTGGGTAGTTATTTCTTATCGAATATTACGTGGAAGCAAAGATAATTTAATTATCAATGTAAAATTTTGATCAAAGTTTTGTTTGAATATGTGAATATGTGAATTAAGTGTACTTTCGAAGTAACAGTAGTACTAGAGAATAAAAGCCTGATATACAAATAGTTTTAAGATAATTTTCGTATTGATGTGGCATCTGCTGGAGAACTGGGGTTTGTGTAACTACAATCACATGTAAATCTGAGACAAGGACTTTTAGATGTTACAGGAAGTATAAAACTATTAAACCACTGCATGAGAATTAACCAATCTACATTTTACTCTTCCCTTCATAATTCGATCGCAAATGATATATATTTTAATGTAAGAATGGAAGATGGCAGTAAGTCTGTATCATAAGTTGCATTTTTGACCAGAGTTTCGTTATTGGATTGTTGGTTACCGAATTAGCTATTATTTTCTGCAATATACTAACCTTCAGAGTTATGAATGTTTAATATGTCTAACATCGGTCCTCATTGATAAACTTAGCTTCACTTGGAATATACCTAGATACTAGTCATAAAATCGATGATTTATCGTCCGGAAGAGTTATGGAACTTATAGATGTAAAGTGTTTTATATCACATTTAATTTTTCTTCAACCTAATTAATGAATAAATCATTTGCTAGAAGCTACATACAGCAATGAACATCAACTGAAAGACTAAATAGCCTAATTATAAATTAACTGATTCACCAGGTCCTTGAGAATGAGTCACGTTCCAAATGTGAAGGATAATAATACTACCTGGTTGTTTGAACCAAAATAGGTGATTCCGCGTTAAGGTCTAGAATCTATTGGGTGGAAATTGAACACTGTAACCACCAAGCCATTGCTTCACAAATAATTAAAAATTAGTTCCTATAAGATTAAGCTTAGTTGTATTAAAGAACAAATGAGTTTAGTTATTAGTGGAAATATGGATAGAGTTAATTAAATATCATGAACAGGTGTTTTTAATTTTTATAAAATTATTCCATAGCCACTCATATATCAATGCAGAAAACAGAGGCTTCAGCAAAATATTTGCATTTCGGAGCTTAGCAATTCAGTGAAAACTTGTAACGAGTTGACTGTCTATTTATGTAAGACTGATTTCAATCTATTCAAACAACTTTAACTGAGTTTTGAAGAAATTTTTTATTCTACTCAACTAAAAATTCCATAAGCGTGATCAAGTTTGCATTGACAGAATGAGAGTTCTGAGACGCATTTGAGATAAATACATTGTAGAAAAAGTAGTTCAATAAGTAAAGCTGTTTTTACCGTTTGTAAAATAATTATCTCACCTGTCTTTGTCGTTGAGCATCTGTTTATATTGCCAGTGCATCATTAAGGACATCAGAATGTGTTTCATGAAAATCGAACAGGACAACAAATGACCTATCAACTAAAATTTTTAGATTACTCTGATCAGGCGCTATGCCAATCGTGACAGAATGCTGAGTATTTGAGTAAATAGCTTCATGATATTACGATTGTTTTTATTTTAAGTTATAAAATATTTTAGTCATAAGGGAAACCAAAGTGTTTTATGCATTGTTTCAAAGTAAGTTAAGTTACTGAATTACAAAAATAAGGGAAGATTAGATTTTATAGATTTTAGAATACATTTCTTTTACTCAAAATTTGACTGATTGTCATTGTTTTCAAATATAATTTTTGTCTGAAACAGATTGAGTTCCTATCAACTGGATCCTATTCATATATTGTAAAACCCGTTCCTTATTTAAAATAAACCTAAATTACATATAAGGCTCTTGTTTCATGAACCAGTTCTCATAGTGTTATGAGAGAATTTTGTGATCTGCAAGATTGTTACAAAAAAACGTTTTTTAATATTGGCTCATCAATAACATCCATATTCAATCCTCGAAATCCAGTTATTCCCGGTCGTTTTGGTAAAAGATTATTGACTCACATATAAGTTTTTCTAAATAAACACTTTGATATTTATTCTGACTTCGGTAGTTTTACTGGGAACCATCCTAGCTGAAGGCTCTCAGTCAAGCATCTGACCCAAATCACAACTGTGTTCACCTTTCTACGCATCTTTAACAATAACTAGTTAACTGATATCACATACTTCTCAACGTGCCAACTAGTTTCCACAATATCTTCAAACCCCTTCATTCCTGACTTCTGATTTGACTGGGTTTTGAATCCTCGATTAGAAAGTTATTACGGACAACAGTATGACATCTTTAAATCCTTGCTCATCATCTACAATATTCTTAATGCTGCATTCAGTACCAATGAAACGCTTTATATTCAAATTTTTTATTAGCTCTAGTTCATTATTACTATAATTTTGAATGTATATTAAATAGCTATATTTCCAGTAGTTCTATATTACAGATTTAAGCCAGTGTTCTTTGAGTTCATGCCTTTTAATCAACTTAGAATCAATGCGGACAATATTTTATTTCTTTTGTTTTGAATCGTTTAGGAAGAATGTTGGTTGGTCTTCTACTTGTAATAAAGTTGGACAGAGCCTTGGTAGTGCAATGGCATTCATTCCCTTAGTTTGTTTGGAGTCTCCAGAAATTCCCAACAAATATTTCAGAAGAACGCCTATAGAAGACAAAGGATTCGTAACATATCCTGGTTTGTGTTAATTGTACAATGCATCATGAATTGTTTTTGTGAATTTTTTTTATTTTAGAGTTTGTTAATCCGATTCGGTCAAATGCTCAGATTGTTTTTGAGACTGTCTTAATGTATCAATCAAATCATGTGAAAGTTAAAATTATTCACTGTTCGACTGTACAATATTGTTGTAACATATTTTTTATTGTTAGTGTGATTTTTATAAGATATTTGAGATACAGGATTGTCAGTCATAGAGTTCATAGAACCAAGATCAGTCTAAAATAATTACATTAGATTTTTGATAGATATTTGTGTATAGTAGATATTCTTTTAGTGTACCAAGAATATGAAGCGTTAGCTTAGTATTTGAAACTCAGCTCTCGTTTCAGGGTGTTCTGTTGATCTCCATATTATCTTCGCTTTATTTGTGAGAGTTAACGACGAAATGATTGGCTGGAAACATTTGAGGTATTCAGAAGTGATAGGATTCATCTTGCTCATCGTATGAAATTTTTCACTTCTGTGTAGTCTTTCTTCTGAGATCTCATGACCATTTTGCATTTCAGGAACTAAAAGAAACTACTAGAGATGTGTAATCAGTAATTGAGTGGCTATCGAACTACGAGTAGGAAACTCAATAATCTTCCTTAAAGTCTATGGCGACTTTACTCACTCGATTTGTAGTGAGTCACTCAATGTCTAGCTCACATGACTCGTCCCACTTGTCTTTTGACCTTGTCAATCATTCGTCGCTTTTATTCATGTTTGTGCATGCCTACCTCGTTTGTCAACCATTCGTCCGTATGTTTGTGGTCTGCTGGTCTATTTAAGGTGTGTCAAAATAAACCTATTCAACACTTCGTGTTCACCTGATTTAAAACCGTCGGGCACTACTTAGTGACGATTATCTGGACGAGCAAATTATGAAGTCTGGGGACACGTTGGATACCGACCGTCACGAGACTAGTGATACCTTGAACACCACACATTATTCCACTCGCAGACAGCTGTTTTCTTCAATGTGTTATCCCAATAAACAGTTATCAACAGTTTATAAATTTCCTGTAACATTTACTTAACTCCCATCAAATACCTTGATGTTCAGTCATTGTTCCTTTCTATTTCTCAATATTCATTGGTAAAAGTTACAAAAAATATCATCTGTCAGTTACCATTATAGGATCTCTTTAGGTTCTGAAAGATTTATCAGTTTCTAGAGTGTACATTATTAGAAATAGTACACAAAGGATTAATACTACCACTCCAAGAGAAAAGGAATGAAATTCACCTAGTCAGCAGTAACACGCAGTATAACAAATAAAATTAGTAATTCGGAGTAACATTCAAGTAAATTTCTAAGTAACTTAATAAACATTTAAGTATAATGTAATCATCTTTTTGTTTAACTATGTCCATAACTACTAACTTGGGCATTGTTGTTTCAGTAGTTGTTGAACAGGCTTTGCTGTGACTTGAATAGACTAAAATGATTTAAACTAGAGTCTTTTCCATCGCAAATACATCAACAAAGATGACTTCAGCTATTGAAGTTTTGTATTTGTACTAGTTAAGCACTATAATGAAATTATCTAATTTTTCTTAAGTATTACAAATGATTCAATATTTTGCTTTTAAATAGGTTTTCTCTACGTAAGTGGTTTGGCTTTTATGATATTGAATACACTTGTGGTAGTATTTAAACATGAAAAAGGCTCTAAATTGGATGAAACTATTCGTCATTTCGTAAAACGTTTATTTTGTAAATCAAAACACACAAAACAATCGTTGAACACTGAACATACAAATGAAAAATCAGTTAATTCGTTAGATCAATTTTATGCGAAAACGGACAATGACATCACATACTTAAAATCATCCTCTTTAGATTGTGTTCTAGCAGGTGATACAGAGAGTACCGAAGTCAGTGCAAAATCTCAACCAAATCAAGATGAAGTGGAAGAAAGTGAAAATCTCTCATTACTTGATACCTATAAAATTATTATTGGTGTTATTCAACTGAAGCCTGTTGCGTTGTATTTGATCATAATAATTTTAGTAAAGGTGAGTAAAAAACTAATTGATATTTCTGTATATGTGATACCGGATGATTGTTTAAGAAAGAACCTTATATCTTCTTCCTGTTTTAAATTATTACTTCTTTCTGACTAGGAAATTTAACGTATTCTTATAAAAATTTATTCTCAGTGAGTAATATAGAAAAATATATTTATACTTTCTATAGGCATTTTATAGTAATTTATTGTGTTTCATGCGGTTTGTCTTATAATATTCGGTTTTGCATACTGAACACAACACTCGCCTTTAGTCTTGATTCTACTTGACCAAACTCTCGGTTTCTAGGGAAATTTATGCACATTAGCTCACTGTTCTTATCCACTAGACAAGTTTAAGGTTTTTCTCAACATTCTGGTGATTAGATCAGAATAGTTTGCTCATGAATATAGGCATTGGGTTCAAATATTTATCTTTGTGTTTTTAGTCTAATAGAACTAGTGTTCATATCTGACCATTTTGGAAGACGTTTCAAATTTTTACATTAATTTTCGATCTTTTTTTTCATAGTAAGCTGTTTCATTTTATTTTCTAACTTTTGGACTCTTGTTTAACTATGGATTAAAAATTATTTTAGTTGTTCGGATATCTATACTTCTTTAAAAATTACGAGTAGCTTTTTGGAGTGTATATCTTTTTGATTTGATACATTCGATCCCCCTCAGACTCTTACAAATCCATGAATTTTGAATCCCGAATAGAAAACAACGGACTGAGTAGAATAACAAGACTTCATTTTATTTTGTAGGTTTCTCATCAGCTGCATACAACCTGAAATATTTTAAGAATCGAAATTATTGTAATGTTTGCATACTTATGACAATAAAAAGGGGTTACGCATCATCATGATGGAATAGTGAAGTTGAAGATTGAATGTTGTAAATAGACATAATATGTCGGAGAAGATTCTGGACCATAAGACAGTGACGACAGATCATAGGGATATGATAATTAATTGATTGATTAAGTAATGTAGTTGTTTGAACAGTTGGATTGCAAAACATCCCTATGACACGCATCATGAAGTTTATAGATTAAAATCCTCCAGCATCATCAACCGGCGGTTGATTTTCGTTCACTCAGATGTACTCAAAGGGAGGCATTAGTAAATCTCTCCTTACCATAGTAACTTTACTGTCTGATTATTACGTCATTTCTCGAAGTTTCACTTACAGCACTCCTTTCAAGTTCATAACTTTAATGACTAGTCTTAATTCATGTTTTTCTTAATTGCTATTAATTTGATATTCAACTATTTTACTATATAATCAGTCAACTAATTATCATATCTCTATGGTTTTACTAACAAATATTTTAGTTTCTAAAAACGAATGCAGTATATTTTTGATAGCTCATTTACAGTTTTCTTGTCACTGTGGTTATACCTACTGACTGAATATGGATTCACTAATAGTTAATTTAACAAAATCTTTACATCATTTTATTCATCTGGGAAACGATTCTTCGTTCTCGATAGGAGCGATGAACATGAACATACTGTAGAGTTCTGAGTGAATGATAGTTTAAAATTGTTAAAGATACGTGGATAAAATACTTTCAAGATCATGTCTACTAATAATACTATAGTCTCAGACTGAAAATTCACAAATATTTACTAGTAATGTTCAAGATTTTTTGATAATTATTTTGGGTTGTCCATTGAATGATGAATAACATATTATTTTTAAGATGCTTTCATAGATGAATATTCGGAAGACTTGAAATCTGGTTGATACGACCTGTAAATGATAATAAATGAGAAATGTTAATGCAATTATCTAAACTAGCTGATTAACTTATGATATTATATTTTATATGCAGTTTATTCTGATGAGTTGTAATTAAAAGTAAAACAGCACTTTTTCTCGATCGATTTCATGAATTGTAGCCACTGATGCTTCTCTCTCAGATATGCATGTTGTGTCAAACTATTTTAAGTCACTCAGTCTGGTATAGACAACGTTGGACCTGATGAACATGTGCATCGATCCAAGTTGCTTTATCACTTGAGCATAACAAGATGAAATTAACTCAAGACAAATTCCATAGTAGTAAAAGTAGTGATAGTATCGTTAGCAGTAGAAAAGATTAATTATCGGAAAGAAGATCGGTGTATTAAGAAATTCCGGGATTCAGAAACTAAGGGAAAATCAAGAGTGAGTGTACAGGGCTAGTGTAACCCAAAATGACTAATTATTAGTGACAGTGGTTGCGCCGACCTCAACTAGGTATCTTACACAGACTTATATGGTTCATTTCAACAGTCAATGTCTTTATTGGCTGAAACCACGTCTAGGTTTGATCACTCCTAGTTTTTCTCAACTGGCTACTATACAAGTGTATGCGCAGATATATACACATAATATATATATCTCATTCACAGTTGTTGAATATTGATTACCTCATCAATTGATTTGCCATCTTTACCTAGTACTTTATTGCCTTACTTCATCATCGCTCGCTCCACTCGTTGATCCGATAAATACACGAGCAATGGCTCGAGATTTCTGAATCCGTGTTAAGATTTTGTCAGACGCTAACCAAACACGGCTGGTAAGAATCCCAAGTTGATCTTTGCACCCAACCAATTCACCCACTATCATTAGTTCAGGCGTTGGCGCAAACCACTCCTGGATCGTCATTTTGCATTTCGACGGGGAGAATCACATCCCAAATATAATTTCATTGTTCCTCCATGCAGTTAGAAGACTCTACATCTTGTCAGCGTATTCACTAGATAAAAGTATATTATTGGAATATTCTAAGACAGAAAGTGATTTTCTTGGTAAGATATTAGCCCCTGGAAAATCGGACGACTGTAGCTTTATCTCTAAAAGAATGTATACGATGAAGTGAAATACAAATAACGAACGTGTATAACTCTGTAAAATACCACTTACAGTCAACACTTCTAATGGAACTTTTCCATAAGCTTTATCTTGATCACCAACTTTTGATTATTTTTCCCGATAAAAGTAATTTTTTGAGAACAAATTACTTTTTTAATTATATTGTTACTTTATATTTTCTCTTCTTTATTTTTATTATTGTTAGGTGTGCTCTTTTGGTGTATATTTTGCTATAAATTTAAAGCTAATTGAACAAGGTTTTGCTAAAGAGAAACTCGCGTTAATGACTCTGGCATTTGTACCAGTAGAATTTATTTTACCATTGTTATTTGTACGTTATACTGTCGGACCAAAACCACTGACTTTCGGTATTATGACATTTATACCAAGGTAATTATTTTCGCTGATTAACATTAATTTATTGTTATAATCACTTTGCATTTACATCAACGTGAAAGCAGTCTGTTAGTTCATATGGTCGCCTTAATCCGCTACTGATATGCTAGCTTCCTGAACGCGAACCCAGTCAGCTAGTTGAGTGACACGAACCAAAGTAAGTAGGAAATATTTGTTGTATATTTTCCCCAATAGATCAAGTCGTATTTTCAACCAGTAACGTGTATCGATTTCCTTAGAATGTTAATCAAAATTATAGTCATTAATGTGCAAACATCAGCATCTATCTTTTCATTAAGCTTGTCTTATTTTATTGGTCTAGTCTATCATAATGTAAACTGAAATTCATAATTATAATTAGTTTATCAGATGTAGAATTACTTGTAATTTTTTCACATTGAATACAACTCTGATTTGACTGTGTAATTATCATACGATTTAGATGAATTTTAAAATTAAGAAATAGCTTAATTATTCATGATATCGAGCAGTTTGTTGTTTTTAAAATTAACAATTCATGAGCTAATTTATGTGCGAAAATTCTTGTGTGAATAACTTTCACAGAAATGTTTATTAGAACAACACATATAAGCGAACAATATTAGACCGTCATCTGGATTTACTCTAATTTATGTGAATATTTATATGAAAATGTTAGACCAATCGAAGCAATTTGAGTCAGTCATCACAATGAAATGAAATAGAGATTACGTCACTACACATATTGGGTACATGTTGATAGTAGGAAGACAGATGTAATTGTGGTAGTAAGCATAACAAAACACGACAACAAAGTTTTATCAATAGTTCAACATTGGAAATAATAGGTCAAATGTGGATAAATAGGCTTCAAATAATCAAAAGAAAACATTAAAACCATTATACAATAAAAAGTGTGTAAATAATTAGACAGTGAAGACTATAAACGGAAAGAGTTAGAAAATTACAAACAAATACAGGATGTGAAAATAATGCCAATAATAACAAAATCAAATTTTAAAAAATACAAAATGTTTTTACTTTTTGTTGTCGTGTTTTATTATTCTTACTACCACAATTACATCTGTCTTCCTTCTGTCAACTTGTGCTTTTGCCTATTATGTGTAGTGAGGTAATCTATTTCGACCGAAGGTCCCGGTGTGTAGGAGTCGTGGACGCACACTGCTGATAAGTCTCATACCAGAACGAAACGACTGTCCAGTGCTTCTTATATGTGTTGTTCTAATTTTCACAATGAGACACTTTAATATTTCAAAAATGTTTATATCAATTTTTTTTACTGTCATATTGTTATTCAAACTAATGTTGTTTTGTACTACTTTCAAAAAATTATTCAGGTTATTGTCAAATTGTTTGTTTATTCCAATTATTCATTTCACACCGTATTTTCGAATGTTAAATGACAATTCAATGATCAATCATTCAAATCTGACAACATTAATTGATAACACAACGACTATTCATAATAATACATTAGATATGATGATAAATAAACCAACTTATTCATTTCCATGGATATTCTATGGAATATTAACCGGTGGTTTCCTTTGTGAGAAGATTACTTCAGTTATTATATATGTTCAATTTCAAGCGTTCAATGCAAAAATAAGTGATCCAGTTATTGGAGGAACTTATATGACATTATTGAATACGGTGTCAAATATTGGTATGTAGTGTTTTTTAGTGTAAATACATTTATTCGTATAAATATAATTTTTGTGGTATTGTCGTCGTTACCATAACGAAGAACGGAAATAATTATTCAATGTGATTCGATGTTCAACTTCGATTTCATGGTCATATGATATTATCACACTATTGTTTGATAATAAATGTCAATATGATCGAATGAAAAAAAATTGAACATTTAAGTCAAAACAGCAATAACCGTTAATTGTTTTAATCACTTCGCTATGTTCATTCATACATACACCATGCATTTTTGTTTTCTTAATCTGTTAAAATTCTTCAAAAACATGAATCATTATTTTTACAGTTTTTTTTTATTTCAATGATGAAGTTCGATAGTACCACACGTTAGTTTATGTAAACACGTTTAAATAGGAATGAGATATATACATTGAACCATTGAACTTTCAGTGGTCAGCTATTTAATCTACTTATTACTCATTCGAAAATTATCTGTTTTAAAATGATGGGAATACTTTATCACGTTTAAGTCTAAAGCTTTTTTGTTAATAAATAAATAACATTTTTATATAAATATTCATGTATATTAGAGTAAAGCCTGATGACGATCTAATCGAAAACAATATTGTTCGCTTATATGTGTTGTTATAATAAATAAATCCCAATATTATAGAGTAAAATACTATAAAGACCGATTAGCACAAATTTAAGCACTAATAACACTGATTGGTAAATTTGAGCTGTATACGTACGTCAGTTGACTAAAATTATTGCTGTTCACTAGATTTCAATATTTTTAAAAAAATCTGATTAAGTGAATTTTAAGAATGAAAGTTGATATTGGCAATGAAATCTTCACCAGGTACAAATATAATTAGCAGTTGTAGATTAAAATGTAATTAATCAACGCACAAGACGTTCTTGTATGATTTTCTATTTCATGTTCATCTATAACTTTGTATATAATAATCAAGTGTTGTTTGTAATGTAATATGAACTTATGAATATTTTTTTATCGTTTGTAATGACCATAACTTTTAGCAAAAATACTTGTTGTTTTTTGTTGGAAGATATCATATTTGACAACAAACACTGATCTATGTTACTTGAATTATCTTTGATGTTAAACATTTGTGAATAGTTTTTTTATTTTGAAAAAGTTCAAATTCCTCTAAGCATTTTCATTCTGACAAATAATTTGTTTGTTAATAGGAATATTTCAATGATAATAGTGATTAATTGAGATGAAATTTTTTTTATTATTATCATACGTAGCTGTGTCTAATAGTTATTTCAGTAGTCTTGAACAGACCATTGATTATTTTGCGTTTAACAATGAAGTTTTTGTCGTATAGAGAATATTTTTAAGTTTACTACATTCTTATAAGCGAATGTTCCTTCTTCTAAAACAAATTGAGAATGATGATGTTATGCTCGTCACCTGATATGCTTGAAAATGTTGCGGGTTCAGCTTAGTCGATAAACAAAAACGAAACAATGAACGAGAGTCCAGGTAGGCTACTCTGATCCGTTGACCCAAAGGAACTAACGATAAGTCTTGATATAGCGTAGAAAGTGTATTCTACAAACACCCAGCAAGCACACAAACCGCCTTTATTTATACATCATAAAGATGTCATTGGGAGAGTCACAAAATAGCACACTAAAATAACACAGTAACCAATCACAACCAAGGTCAGTCAAGGTCAACTGACCAGCACATGAATAAAATCCAAAATTAAGACATTTTCAAGCGAGTTCTGGGGATCCAACGTCTCCGACAGATGACAAATTTTTTTGCTTGAAAATAGTTTATTTTTCATCTATGAAATACTCAGGTATCACAACAAATTTATTTATTTACGCTGGAGCATTCAATTTATTTTATCAGGTTTATTTTTAGAAAACATATATTTAGTCAGTGGCTTTATCAATTAACTATTTGTTTAACTTATCCATTAATGATTGATCTTTCTTGTTTATGTTTATGTCTAATAAAAACTGCGTACATCTACATTTCAAATCAATCAGCAGGTTTATGTATGTTTTACTTGTTAGTAATCTTCAATAATGCAGAAATCAAGGAATAAGTATGAAATAATTAGAGTAATCAACATTTTTTGAAGGTATATGTAACGAGATTTTAGACTGACGAGTTGCGTTAAAAAAAATTATCGATTTTTTTTTACCGATTTAAGCATGACCTCCAGAAACATTTGGAAGCTTAAGATCAGATGTTCTCCTATAAATGCTCTTTGTTAATATATATGAACCGATCGTAGGAGTAAATTTTCTATACTTCCTGATTTTGTTTTTCTGTCCGAATCGCAAGTATAGAAGAGTTTCAAGTCTTAAGAAAAGGTTGGAAAGTTGGTATTTAAGCGTTGAAACACAAAACATACCGACGCCTAAATTTAAGTGCTAGTAATATCATCTTAATACCTAATCGAGATTAATCGATATGGTGTCACAGCTACTGCTTGAAACTAACATACTATAGCCACTGTCCCATTTCCCCACGACATTTACGTACATCTATGAACATATACACATCAATCTTATTCGTTACTAACGTGCACAGAAAACCTCATTGCAATAAATATTTATCAAGTTAGTTTATTTAACATGACCCTATAAGTACATAAATTGTGTTTGAACATTCTGAAAATTTAATAATGGTTGTATTTTATCTATTCAAAATAGCTAATACTCTAGGATCTACTATCTGTCTCGCTCTCATAGAGCCTTTGACAATTCGTTCATGTAGTAAAAACGAAACTCATTCTGGAATAGGCAAAAACACTGCTGAGACATTGGGTAACAGTTCATTGTCTTTAGATGAAAATAAGGTTAGTGAACAACATGGTTACACAATATTTTGGAAAATTTGTTCAATGTACATTTATTTTTCATAATCCACAGTTTACTGGCTTATTCAGAGTTTATTGTAATATTATCTACTACTAAGCAGTAGTAATTAAGACAATAGAAATGGACTTGATAACTATTCAGTATTTTATTTTGTTTGATATTTCCACTTACTACTATTGTTCTATTGTTAGAAGGCTCATTCAATGTACGACATGCATCTGTGATTCTGTACTAGTTTTTATCGCAGTCATTATTCATTACATATTGTACGTGTATCTGAGATAAGAGATCAATGGAATAAAGAGAATCTGTTGAATTGATGAAATACAATTTAGACAGTGTTTAAATACGATTGCTGGAAAAAGAATTCAATGCATAACTATGGTTTTCAGGTAACTGCTAGTGTGATAATCATAATACAATTTACACATATACACTATTTTCTTGTCACATGTTCAACTGATCACTTCCATTGTCTGTATTTTGTGTTTGAACATTTTTTTAAAATATGAATAATCAAAATAAATCATCAATTATAATGTCATTTTCTTTCTTAAATTATTATTCTTTTTGTTGAAATAGACAACAGAATCCTGTGTTAAATTATTTGATGGATACTTCATAGAAGTGATAGCTTTTCTTATCATTGGTCTAATATCGTTTATATGGTTTATATATCCGAAAGTGAAATATTTAGAAAAATTGCCAACAACCAAATTTACTTACAATCCAACTAATGGGGAACGCACTTGTTTCACTAGACTTTTTAATGTTTGTCGTAAAACAGAACAACAGTCACTAGTTTTAACTAATAATATTGAGTGTATACATGACAATAATAATGATGATCGTAATGATAATCATAATAAGAATACGATTTATCGTGATGAAATCAATTCTTCTCAAACAAATCATCTTTAATGAACAATTTTTATCTGTGTACATTGAAATATTATTGATTTCCGGTTAATGAGAAAAAATCAAGTAGATGAAGCATATTTTTGTAATGTTCTTTATTGATTTTTATTTTCAATCTTTTTTAAAATTTTTATTCATTTGGCAAAATATATTGAATTGAACAATTTAATTTGTAATTTGCACGTTATTATGTATATAGAACAAACAGTAAAACTTATTTTTCCTATTAAAACAATGCTGTTTTTCCTTTTTACAAATTAATTGTAACGTAACATTTTATCTTTCAATCTTTCTATTTTACACAATGATTATTTATTATTATTTTATTTTCTCTATCAAGTTGTCTGCAGCCGGTGAAAAGTAAAT